AAAAAAAAATTATTGAAAGTCTCAAAAGGCAAAATAGAGAGCTGAGGTCAAATGCATTAAAACAAAAAATTATGCTCCATAATAAAAGTCCAAATGATACCACTAGGACAGATGAATGTACTTTGCCAGATAAATAGGTAACACTTTTTTCAATATCAAAAATGGTGTACCAAAAGAGAAACTCGGGTAAGCAACAAAACTGGTAAACCAATTGTTGTTCAGATAACATTAAAAGAATCTATTATTACATCCAATTATGAGGTCGTACAAGAGTTATTAAACTGTATGCCAAAGTACATGATACACGTAAAAAATATATACCACCAGCACCAATCATCATCTTTCATTAAAAAGAATCTAACTCATACTGAACTGTTACTGCATATAGACTTTTCTGAGAACTACTTCTGCAAATATGCATCTGAAGCCCAGTCTGTTCATTTTGGAGCATCAAGACAGCAAATAACGTTACATACCGGTGTTGCATACTGAAAAAATCACGTGCAATCATTTTGGCCTTGAAACAACCAATCACAGAACTAGTTTCAGGCAGCTGCTTGCCGAAAAACAAATTATTTTGTTTCTCAATTTATGGAGAGGTGCGCGGCGATGTGAGCTGCTCCAATGTTTTTACCCTAACTTGGTGCAGAGAGTATAACGTTTTATATTTTAACAGTTTAACATGTATCTCATGCAATATTGGCGAATTATGTAGCCACTTTAATCTTGGGCATATAAAAATGCACAATTCGTCGACTCCTCCAACTTCTGGTCAAGATATCGGTATAGAAACCCAAAGTTCTAAAAGTACAGTTATGCCCACTGACAAATATATCGACATGACTGGTCAGTCTCTCCTGAAAACAGTTAAATGTTCAGAATCGGATGTTAAACCGAATGACTGGGTAGCAGTTTTCTTCACCGACTTTTGGTATCCTAGTAAAATAGTTTGTTCTTATATTTTATAATATGGGTGTTCTAATTTGTACCGATTTTTAGGTTTGGTTTTGTCACAAACTGGCAAATCTGTGAAAATTGATTTCATGGACAGAAAAGGAGAAGTTTTTTTTTGGCCGGAAAAAAGAGACATCCAGACAATTCGTGCAGCAGAAATTTTATATAAACTCTCCAAGCCACCGGTTCCAAGTTCTGCTGGGCTCTTTTCTGTTCCGGAATACAAAAATATAAAGGATATGACTTAATTTCATTACTATCATTTTTATCTATTTTTAAGAGTTTCTCGTTCGAAGTTTTTAACGTTTTTTTTTTTATGGTTTAAAATATTTTTTTTCTATGTGAACTACGTTTAATCTTCATGTTTTTAATAAAGAAAGAGTAGTTTTTGAATATTTTTTGTTTATTTTCACTCCCTAACATTACCATAAAAGTAAATTAAACATTTCCATGTCTTTTGACATTACCGTGACAGCCAAATTTCATTACCATGTCATTTTTTTGTAATTTTTCCGAAAAAAACTAAAAATATGGGGGGTACATATTACAGATTTTACTAACCTAAAATATTATATAAGCCTACGCAATAATATTTTTGAAAACATGAGTATTTAGATGTGACGCAAAATATCATGGAATTTTCCTTATTTCTAAAGAATGACCCATATATGACTGTTTATTGCATGACTAATTTTTAAACTATTGCAAGTGCAATATGAGGGATATTTATATTAATATTAAGTGGTGCATTGAATTAGTAATTAAATAGGGTGTCACACTTTATAATACGCACAGTTTTTATCCCGATAGAGGGCGGCACAATTACAAGTATCGCAATGAAAAATCATATTTCTAAATTCTCCATAAAATTACCATTTTAATGATGTACTACACATTGTAATGTCACACTTTATATTACGTAGTAGTTTTTTATCCCGCTAGAGGACGATACAATTTAAGTAACGAAATGCACAGAAATATTTCTGAATCCTCCATAACATTACCTTTTTAATACATGGTACATTACCTATTTTTTTAAAATCGAAAGATTCATGTCGAAAACAGAATAAAACTGTTTTTAGTGACCCACTCTGTATATCAAAAATGGCTAGATTTATCGAATTAGTTCATAAAACAAAATCTGCTTTAAAATGTATTTTTTACTAGATCCTCCCATCGAAAAAAAAAAAAATATTGAGCTCAGCGCCATCTATATATTGACCCATTTAAAATTATTTTTATATATTAAACTGAAGCTCTCTTAGCGCTCTATGAACTGGTTTTTACAGAATTAAAATATCTCAATTACTTACCAAAATATCCGGCTTGGGAGTTTTTATTGGTACACCCTGTATCTGCTAATTAAATAACATTAATTTTCATGTATTGTCATAGTTGGAACATGACCTCTGGAAAGGGATTCTTATGTGCGTACTCAACACAATAGAGAGAGACATTACATACAAATTCTGTGGAACGAAGATAGAAGCTTCTCAACACGTCTCGAATTGAATCCCACTGCTGATCACATTTTTGTATTACATTTTTTTTAATTTTGAAAATCCTAAATTGTATTTTTTATTGCGCGTACAACATCGAAGTTTGAAGTAGTTTGGACTACCACCAGGACTTAGAAAGTACTCTTTTTGAAAAATGATTTAAAAGTACATTACCACCGAAACTAAATGAAAATAGCGTAATAGTTTTAGATAATGACCCGTACCATTCTCGGTTAGTACGAAAAAAACCAAATACCAAGTATACGAAATTAGTGATTCAGGACTTTTTGATGGAGAATGATATGTTTTTAGAAGAAAACTATACCAAAAATAGTTAATAGTACTTTTACACTTGGTTGATTTTCAACCTGAATATGTTATCGACACCATAGCAATTAAACACGTATTTAAAGTTTTACGTTTACCACTCTACCACTATATTTTGAACCCCATAGAATTATTATGGTCACAGTTAAAAAATTATTCTCGAGCAAATAACTCTTTTTTGTAATTGATGTAGTAAGAAATGCATTTAACTGTATAACTGTTGAAAACTGGAAAAACGCTATTAAACATGTTAAAAAAATTGAAGAGAAATATATGAGAATTAACAATACAATTCAAAAAATTGAAATAAATTTGGATGATACTGATGATGATAGTGATAATATTTCAGAACATAAAATTAGTGACTGTGAAAGTGATTTAGAAATATAGACGTTTTTAAATTCATTTTCCTACATTTTCACAAAATAAATCTAGTAAAATATAAAATATAAGTTCTCAGCGTATTATATTTTTTTCAAAGTAATTTAGACCGCAAAAAGATATTTGTTGAAATCAAATTTTAAAAATTAACCTAAGCCAACTCTGACCAGCGTATTTGCGAACGTTTCAAGAGGTTGCCAGACTATTGCGCTTTCTAGATTATCTTGTAATGGACTATACGTTTAATTTTAATCATTTCCTTTTAGGAACTGTCTGTATGTCCGATCCTGCAAAATACATTTATTCGATTCTGAGTGCACAAGTCAATTTTTCGCGTAATTTTTTAGATTTTGGGAAGAAGTATTTAATTTTTTTAAATTTGAACCTATGTTGAAATAAAAAAATGGTTCAATATTTATGGAGGAATCTACTTTCGAACCTTGGCCCATCTTTATAGGCATTTAAATCAGAAACAGAAACAGGAGCTATATCGTGTCTCTTGAAAGAAACTTCCGTTCACAGCTTTAATCTACAGAAAAAAGGTAAGGTCTAAAATATATAAATAAGATAAAATCTCCAAAATGTCTGCTTTACTGATTGTCTTAGTCTTGTAAATGTTCTTAAAATAAATTTACCTACCCCAGTTACCCAGTTCTATCATACATAATTACCGAACTTTATAACAACCCAAAAAAGCTATCAACCTTGGAGTTCCGTGGGTACTATCGCATATTGTGATAGAACGAAACCAGGGAGTGGATATTCTGATTAAAAAACCTATAATAAGAACCTAATTAGTAAACAGAGAGAAGACATTTCACTTAGATCTAATAAATATCGTACAGAAGAGTGGCAATTAGATTGAAATCTGGTTTTAATCAAAATATGTCAAGCATTGAAGCCTTACACTTTGCTGGATGGTATTTCATGGGATGGATCTAACGTGCCAGGTTCGTTAGGTTTCTTTTTGAAATTGTTTCGTAAAAAATTTGTTGAATACAATTATTATATTACTAAAATCTTTCCAGTGACACATTCAAAGTAAAAAGTTTCTCTAGAAATAATGAAAGGCTGCTTAAGTACCTTATCGCACAACCTACTACTCTGGTATTTATTATGCAGGTGTATGCCTATCTATATTCTATTTTACCAAAATACATTTTTCTTTGTAGCCTAGTAGTTCCACAAGAAGTCCTCTTCTTTTTCTTTAAAATAAAATAATATAAAGCATTTTTTTATTTTGCTATTCTTATATCCCATAAAAAATAGTCAAATACCCTTTAACTCGAGAAAAAAACATCTGATGTGTCCAACACATGACTTTCAAGTAAATTTATCAAATATATTGAGTACGGCCTAAAAAATGTTTGAAATATGAATTAAAGACAATAAATTTTAACATAAATAAAGAATATTCTTTAAAATTTATTAGTTTATTAAACTTTGACACACCTTGAAAATATTTTCTTTCTGAACGAGACGTCAACTTCAAATTATTGTCAATCTGAACAACTGTCAAAGTTTATCAGGTCATCAATTTAAATGGACGTTCTTGCAACAGGCTGATTTTATTCGAAACTTATTTTATACCTTTATTGACAAGAAAATTATTGAGTAAATGGTATTTTATTTTTCTCAAATTTATTCATTACGGTCCATGTATGTATATTATGTAAAATTATAGAGAACGATAACACAAAAAACTCTTACTCAAAAAATTTTATTTGTTATTATTAATAACAGAAATATATTCTATATTTTAAATTTTGATAGGTATAAAGTCCTATATTTCTTATAAAATTGGCGACATAATTTATATTATACAAAAAAAATACAAACCTCCAATTAAAAAACTGAGAACAAAAACAACCTCCAAAATCCACAACAATGTCATATTTTATATTCCTATTTCTTTTCACAAAAAAATCACATCACTAAGCTATATATTAACCAAAAAAACAAACAGTATCTAGCAAACTAATCCAACATTTCATCCTGCCATCTGATTGTCCAACACTCTGTACGTCCGAATCGAGAACTTTTGTAATGCGTGTGTATGTTATGAAAAAAAAAGACGCAGTCGGCGTTCGCGAATTTAAATTCATGCGGACGCGGGAGTCTAGCGTCTGTCTGCGTCGGGACGACAGTCAGATAGAAATGAAGACAACCCCGATATGAGTTGTGATGTTTCTGAAAGAACATGCGCGTGCGCCTTTTATGGCGCCAAAAATATTTGGTTGTTTGTTCTTAATAATTTTGGTTATATTATGCACCGATTGAAGATGTATCAATATGATAATAAACTAGTTTCAATTTCTTTGGAGGTACGCAAGACAGGAAATAATTTTATAGTAATCTGATGTTTTTTTTTTTTAAATTGGACTGATTGGAAAAGTACCCAAGTTTTTCAGTTTCGTTTGCGTATGTAGTGTAAATATTTATTAATTGCGATTGTTTAAAAAATCAACAATGATTGCTAAAGAACAAAAATAGAAATAATAATGTGCCATTAAAAATATTTTTAGAATGTGTGGAAAAAAATAATAAAACAGAATCGACACCTACCTAAGTACTTTTGGAGTAAAAAAACAGGACCTGCTTCAGGTAAATCAAACAAATAATAGAATGGATGTAGGAGAAAATTTCCTAGCCCAACAATATTAGGCCTTATTTCTTGAAAATAAAGCTAGAAGTCAGACATTGAACAATGCTTGGATACAGGAAAAAGCTGAAAAACAGCAACTAGAAACTGCATTGCAACAAATGCAAAAAAATATGGAAAATATGCAAAAACTAATTAATATCTTAAACAAAGAAAAATCTAAAAATCTAACGAATTATGAGACTGATGAAGAAGAACTGGCAAAATAAATCAGCGACCAATAAACAAAATAGTAGAATAGATAACAGCGGAAAGCAGAAACAATAGATGAAAAAAAACTAGAAGACAAATCCTCTCCAGAAATCTCTCCTGGCCAACTTGGAGTTAGCAAAATCTTTAACAAGAGAAACAAACAGTCGAAAAAACAGTGACATCAATAAGTATAAAGAATTGTGCCATATACTGGCAGAAAATAATATTTCCTTTCAAGCCGCAGCTGTAAGCAATAGCCAGTTTAAAATTAATAATAAACAAGAAGAAGTCTTCACATCAACTTTGAATGCCAAAGACATAAGTTGGCATTCCTATGAAATTAAACACAGCAGAGACATTAAAGTAATGGCTAGAGGTCTACCATCTACATCTAAACCAAAATATATTGTTGAAGACTTGCAAAGTCAAGGATTAAAATGTAAAAAAGCTGTCAATATAATAAAGAAAGAAATAGAATTAACCGAGGATAATACTCGTAAACTAAATATAAAATCATTGTCGCTATTCATGCTATGCTTCGAAAATATTGAAGATGTCAATAAAATCTACGAAATCAAAGCACTACTTAATCTAAGAGTTAGAATAGAAACCATAAGAAAGTCAAAACTAGTTTCGCAATGCAAAAACTGCCAGCTATTTGGACATACACACAACTTTTGCAAAAGAGAATCAAGGTGCGTTAAATGCGTAGGAAAACATCATACGAAGGATTGTGTAAAAAGTTCAGAACAACAGCCGAAGTCTATAAACTGCCTAATGGAACATCCAGCTTACTACAGAGGATATGATGTAACTAAAACCTTTTAGATAAGGAAGAATAACGCCGCTAAACCTAAAATAATGACGATGCAGAAGTGACCCATAAACGCTTTTCCTACTGTCAGAAATGAAGTAACATATTCTCATGTAGAAAACTCACAGGAGCAACCAATTCATAAGTCACAACCAGCCATGAATCCCACACTACAAATTGCACAGCATACTGCACAGTCAGCCTAGCAGAAAGTACCACTCATGAACTATTATTATTCTTAATAACCAGAATATATTCACTAGAAGAATTAAATAAACCCCAAATATATAACAAAACTAGCAATGGAAAAAAGAGATATTAGAATAGCCACTTGGAATGCCAATGGTATTCTCCAAAAATAAATTGATATTTAGGTTTTCTTGGACGTACAAAAAATAGATATGTCTGATTTCTGAGATCTACCTTACAACGGAGTCATACATTAAATTCAGAGGATACAACTTCTATCACACTATTTCTAAATAGATCATGTATTCTTATTGGCAACTCATAAAGTTGATTGATTTTGGAAATAATTACATGCATTTTAATTAATTTATTAAAAAAATAATTTCTTGATTTTTGGATTGTTTTATAAAATTAAACTAAGTTAAATGAACTATGTTACACCTTCATCCATCTAAATTTTACACTATCCCTAAAAATTTATTTGGACTTTAATCTGGAATATTTTCTTGTTTTTTAAACAAATCATTTTTTTTTGGGGAAATTATATCAGAAATCAAAAATTACAAAATTAAAATGAAAAATATCCACCTTTGATTGTGAATATTTCGAAAATCAATCAAGAGTACACGATTAACTTAAAAAACATTGTCAAAAGTGAAAAAATTCAAACAACTTTTTGGACAGTGGCGTAAAATTTAGAAGTGATGAAGGTGTTACTGATCTCTGCCATACGTCATTGGTAAAGTTTATTTAACTATAGAGAAGAAGAAGGCAACCATGCTCTGTGAGGAGTGTACATCCATTAATATGGTTCCACCATATGAAAAACTATTGGAGCTTTGTGCTAATGAGCAGATAGTTAATTATATTAACAACATTTTCACAAATTATTGAGCGGGTTTTACAAGTAAAAATTCTTGTGAGACTGCTCTGCAGAGTATCCTATTTAACTGGAAAAGTGCTCTACATGAAGGAAAATTGATTGGAGTATTGTTTCTGGATTTCGTACGTGCCTTTGAAACTATAACGAGGAACATATTACTACTCAAAATGAAAAAGTACGGATTTCATCAGTCTATATTACAATGGTTACAGACTACTTACATGATCGAAATCAAAAAACAAAATACGGAGGTGCATCATTTGTGAAACGTACCGAATATGGGGTGCCACAAGGGACAGTGCTTGGTCCTACTCTGTTCATATTGTATATTAATGAGATGCTAAGTGTAATTAGAAAATGCAAAATATAACTATTTACTGATGACACAATAATTTATGTAGTGGGTGATAGGGTAGAAGAAATAATATACATTTTAAAAAATGAACTAAACAATGTATTAGAATGGTTAAATAACAATTCCTTAAAACTTGATATTGAAAAAACAAAAATGATTAATAAAAGTAAAAATTCTATGCTAGATTGTGGTCCCCATAGTAATATAAAAATTGATAATAATACAATCGAGAGAGTGTCTCAATTTAAATATTTAGGGTATATAATAGACAGTACTTTATTATTTTCTAAACATTTTAATTATGTCACTAATAAAATATCAAGAAAGATTAATGTCATGGGACGTATGTCAAAAAATTTAAGTAAATTAACAGTGTGTAAAACAATTACATATTGCTCCTCATTTTTATTTTTGCTTTACATTACTATACCTAATAAATGTAACACAACTAGATACAATAAAAAAGAAACAAAATAAAGCTATATCGACTTCACTAGGAGTTCTATTGTATTTTAAGTTTCAAGACTTTTTGTTTTTTGTTGGTATATATTTAAATATTCTGTGTATTTTGTTCCTTGCTAGCTACATGCTAATAAATAAAGATTATTGTTAGCTGATTGGTATATCTTATGACACCAAGAATGTTTACTGAATTTAGTAAAATTATTTTATAAATTAAAAAAATTATAGCCATTAATAATTTTTGAATTTTCAACTTTAACACCCTGTATTTCGGAAACCTGTAATATTATATGGAAGCATATTTTATTTAATATCGTCCCATTTTTAATCAGAGAATCTTCAGTTTTTCTGTGTCCCATTCTTAATGTAAATTATTTTTAATTTAACAAATAATCGTAAAAAGTAAACAAAACATTGTAATTAAAATATCTTCGTTTATCCACTGTCCATTAAGCTATCTTCAACTAGCAATTTTATCTAAATAATGTATTGAACGTTATAAATTTAAAATATTTATATCTATTGCGTGACGCAATTAAACGATACAATGGCTTTTTATTTATTTAATAATACTCATAATTTAAAGGATAACCTACAATAGAGTATCCATTGGATTTCTCAGTTTTACTTCTTTATTTACAAATAAACTTACCACTACCACATATAATAACCATGAAGATACCTAATAGTCTGATTGAAATGCAACCGAACAGGTTAGAAATAAATTACTTGAAGAACCACTCTTCACCTGGTATTGATGGATTAAGTTCTTTTTTTTTAAGTATGCAAACATTGTCCGACTCGCTTTCCACAATCATCACCTTGTCTTTTAATACATCTACTCTACCCGAGTTATGTAAAATTGCGTCAGTTAAAGCTATATTTAAGAAGGGTAACAAAATAGATTCTTCAAATTACAGACTTATAAGCATTCTGTCTATCCCATCATAAATCATGGAAAGCGTCCTAGTTGATGTCATAACTAATTTTTTCAGAGCATAACGTAATACCAAAGGTACAACACAGTTTTGTTAAAGGTAAATCTACCACAACAAATATTTTATGCTGCATTAACGATTGCTCTTGCTTACTTGAATGCAAACAACCAACTGATGTATTTTTCTTTTCGACTTTGCGAAGACTTTTGACAGGGTCCCTTTTGTCAGACTGCAGCACAAACTCAAGTCATTTGGTATTCGTGAAAAATTATTGTCATGGATACACAATTATCTAGGAAATAGGAGCTCTCGAGTAAAGTTAATTATTCTTACTCATTAAGTAGATTAGTGACAAGTGATGTTCCCCAAGGCTCGATACTGGGTCCGCTTCTTTTTATAACTTATTCGAGCGATCCACCTTACCATATCCAGTCTCAAAGAGCATTTTATGCAGATGACACAAAATTTTACGGAAACCCCTTAGTAGACTACGATAATATTCAAGCTGACTTAAATTCAATAAGTGATTGGTGCGTGGACTAGTTTTGCCTGTTAAATATAAACAAGTGTGTGGTGTTACATATTGATAAAAAAAAATCCACGTCTTAGTTACTCGCTCGGTAGCAATAA